CATTCCTGCCATCCTCCCTGGCCACCCCATCAAGGGCCTGACCTGGAGTGCAGCTGTGTCCACCCTGGACGCTGTGGAAGGAGAGCAGCCCTCAGGGTGCAACCCAGGTCTCCTCCAATCGCGCTGGCTGTAGGAAAGCCTTCCTCCCAGTTCCAGCCCCACCGTTACCTCCAGCCCTGTTCTTTCCCACTCCCCAGCTCTGGCCACACTCAGGTCCTTTTCCAGATACAGAAGCCCAGGCCTTGGGGCTTCCCTTGGCAAGAAGTGACTGTGGACAGGCAGCCATGTGCAGGCTCCCCCCCCCCCGGTCCCTGTGGGCACCTCTCGGCCCTCCTTTCCTCCTCTGCCCCTGGTTCTCTCTCCCTCTCTTACTTGAGGTCTTGCTGTGGCTGTCCAGTCTCTGCCTGTCTGTCTCGTTCTGTCTCCATCTCTCCTGGCCTGCCCTGTCTGTCTGCACCTCAAGCTTCCTCTGGGCTAACCCAGTTCCCCAGTGCACAGGACAGCACTGCAGGAGGATGGGGGAAAGCAGGCCTGGGTCCAACCAACACCTTCCAACCCATCCACCCTAGGGCCCCTCCTCCGGGTAGCCCTCCTTGATAGCCCAACCCCTCTGTATATTCGTCAGATTTTCATCCAAACCACCTTGGGGACTTTTTATTTTCTCTACCTAACACTGGAAGGGAAGGCTGCACATGCGTGCTTCCCAGCGTGGGCCTGGGGATAGCCCTGAACTACCACGGGGAAAGAGCCTGGCTTCTAGCAAGACCCCCTATTCCTGTGTCGGGGTCCCGGTTTCCCTTCTGAACAGGAGAAATCTACAGGGACCCCCGCGATGAGGACCAACCGAGCCCCTCTGTCCCAGGTTGGCTGACGCCGCCTCTGCCCGGCTGGAACTCTCCCGCCTGCTCAATGTCTCGGCCTCCAGCCCCTGGATCTGCTTCGGAGGCTCCTATGCCGGTTCCTTGGCCGCCTGGGCCCGGCTGAAGGTCTCAGGACGCCGCGGCTGGGGGCGGGCACTGGGACTCGGGCCAGCCCCAGATGATGGGCACACCCTCCCCAGAGCAGACGGCCTCCCACGACAAAAGGGCAGACCCAACCCCGAACACCCTCCCCAGAGCAGGCCCTGCCCCCAGCGGCCTTCACAGCCTAGGTGACGCGGCGGGGCGGGGGTGTCCCTCAGCCCCGACTGACCACTTCACCTCCTAGTTCCCCCATCTCGTGTCCGCCTCGGTCGCCTCCTCGGCCCCGGTGCGGGCCGTGCTGGACTTCTCTGCGTACAACGAGGTAAGGGCGGGCAGCAGGTGCGGGAGAAGTCCGGCGGCGGAACCGGACCTCCTGATTCCGCCGGGCGCCCCGACACAGGTGGTGTCCCGAAGCCTGACGAGCACGGCGATTGGCGGGTCCCTGCAGGTAGGGGTGGAGCCCAGTCCCGCGCACAGCGAGAGAGGCCTTGGACGAGGGTCAAGACAGGGGCGGAGCCTGCGAGATGGGGGCGTCTGACGGAGGTCTGAGCGGACCCAGCTAAGCCGGAGGAGAGAGCCGCGGGTGGACGCGGCGTCCAGGCAGACGCTCTCTGTGGCTGGGAGCGGGTTGCCGGAGACCTTCCCAGTGTGCAGTCGGGGCGCCGGGAGGGGCGGGGCCTGGGCCCGGGACGAGGAGCCAGGAGGGCGGGGCCTGCAGGGAAGGCGGAGGGCGAGCCGGGAGGGGCCGAGCCTGGGGAGGCAGACGCT